ACAAATATATATATATATATATATATATATATATATATATTTGTGTGCTGTATATATACATATACTGATTTCTATACGGCCAAAACAGAGATTTTAAGAAGGCATAGGAAAAACTAAATTACAAATAAACAAAACATTTTATTTTTCTGAATAAAACATTAATTTTTAAATCAGTATTTAAGAATGAATAGAATCACAAACTTGCCTTCTGGTAGAAGCCAAATCCCAAGAATCAGTGTAAAGAACATCTTTTTGTGTGTGAAATTAATAAATAAAAAAGTCAAATTTGTAATTTGTCTTGTTTCTTCAGACTTCTATCATCCAATCCAATAAATCAAATGGGGGTCAATAGCAGAATAAGCTTTTTGGCACAGACAGAGAAGATAAAGGAAGTTTTTCATGGGCACAGCCCACACACCCAACTCAGCTGCTCAGCCCACAAATGGATTTTCCTAACAAATGTGCCACCATTGTTACCACAAAGAGATAATCAACCTAACACACAACTTTCCTTACTTTTTGTGCTAAGTTTGGTTTCTGTTATCCTTATTTTTTGAAGATCATCACACATATTTTAACAACAGGTCAAATTTGTGATTTGTAGCAACTCATAAACTGACTTGCTTTGTTGAAAATTAATGGTAAAACTAATTATTATCGTTAAAAATTATAATTATTATTGGGGAAAAAATGCAGATGTGCTTTTTATTTATTCGTTTTACTTTGATAAACAAACTCCTCCATCAGTGTCAGACATTTTTAGGTGGGAGCTGAACAACTCTCATTAAGTCACAGGTGAATAAAATGTATTTGTGGTGAACGAATGGCGCCCACCCGGGCTTTCATAAGACCAGAGATGGAGAGGAGGGGTATACCCCTGAACAGATTCCTAGTTCATCACATTGCCAACAAAGAAACATTAAACAAACAATTTTGTCAGTGTTACGTACATTTGTTGTCTTAAATAGACAGAAAGGGTGTGTCTTTCTGCCAACCTGGTGTCTCCCTCCCCTCACCCAGGGTGACATGCATGTTTTTCTACTGTGGGGACAAAGCAGCAGTACCTGGAGAAAATCCACACAGAACGTCTCTAATAAGATTTGAACCAGAGACCCGAGGCAACAAAGTGAACTGCCTCAACTAAGCAAACAATTTAGATTTTCAGGTCTTTAGAAAAAACATCAGATGAAGGAAATCCTAAACCTCTTTAAGACGTTGATGAGTGACGTTTCTCTTCCTAACTGTTTTGCCTAATCAAATTCTTGATGATTTTCGTCCCTCACCAAACAAAGCAGACTGAACCTCTGTCAAAGGTGTATCCAATCAAAGAAAAGCGAGTGACGGACATCTTGGAACATAATGCCTTTGCATAAACAAAATTTCTGCTCCTTGCCAAACAAATCAGATCACCTGAGACAAAGGCTTGACTTAGCTCTTTAGGAATGTCAGTGCAAGTAGAAAACTCAAGAAAACTCAGTGGCACCTCTCTGGCTCTTACTTAGGTGTTTAGATGATGTAAAAATCTGGGTTCAGACCACTAAACAGATTATTTTGTCTTATCAGAGTACTGGATAAGCAAAATAGTCTCTGATTGGTAGTAATGGCCCTAAAGTTTTTTGGTGTGATCACACTGGAAACTGTGGAAAAGTGGATTTATACATTAAACTAAATTTAATGTTAATTTTTTTTTTGTCTTTATGTTAACAAACTCCTTGCTTTGAAACCAAATGTTCTTCTGTGGCCAATTTCTTTGTTATAATTTGTTATAAACTCCCTTCTGCCTCCAATCAAGCTCTCTTTTCTAAAGGATCTTTTGTGGTTTGGTTAATGCTAAAGAGTTTCTCTTGATTAGCAATTTAATTCTTGTTTGGTTAACAATTGTCAGATAAACTTAAATCTGCCTCCGGTTCTTTTAATTTGACTCAACTAATTAATTAATCAACCTGCCCTAATGATATAAACCAAACAAAATCCTCTTTACTTGACTTTATTTTAACAAGTGTCTCACACAGGTATACTGAAGGTGGTTTATTTGTGAATAATCTTAGTGATAGTTGTAATTTACAACCACAATGAAAGCCAAACTCCCTGCCTAAACTGGATTTTTTATATATTTTATTATTATTATTATTATTAAGTAAGCTGGCTTTTCTGCAGGATGTGGCTGCCTTCAAGTGGTAAAGAATGCTTTAAATTTATTATACTGAGCGGGGCTTGGACTACTTTTATAATGATTTTTAGTGTATAATCAACACACATACACCTTTTTGAAAATATAAGGTGAAGGGCCAAAAGAATCCTTGGGGTTGCCCTGAAGTAGGAAATCTCAGTGAGAGGAGTTGTTGTTGCTTTGGCCAGAAAAACTAAGGCACAGGCTCAGTTTTCAGCAGCTTCAAAAAAATATGTACTTCCCTTATAAAGAGAAATACTGTACGCCCATTTATTACTTGATATAATCTTAAAACAATTGAAAAAACATTTTTGACCAATCATAAAATCATCTTCTAGCCACATATTAACAAATGAACTACTCAGCTCTCTAATGAGAATTTCTGGCACCCTGTCTGACTGAACTCAATTGTTTTAATGCTCATTTTATTTCTGCTGGGTCCTTATTTGAATTTTTACACGAGCTGATAAATGTTGACATAGCTGTTGTAAATTCACTATGACTTTGCTTGTGGTGAGTGGAAATATCAACTACTGTATCCTTTTGAGTTTGTGTCTGCCTTTGAGGTTGAGTACTTTATAGAGGCCAGACATAGGTAAAGCAGACAGACCTGGTGAAACTGAACCCTTTTGTCAACAAGTAGTACCATAATTGATTTTGTTGCTGAGCCTCTGTCTTATATTTTTGATCTGAGTCCTACCAGCAGAAAAATTCTTAGTCTGAAAATCAGTTTATGTTTTCCCTCTGTCAAAAGCAGGTAAAGGTAGGATTCCAGTCTATTCTGGTTCTGACAACTCCCATGCAGTCATCGAGTGGCAGAGCGGAGTCACACCTTCACAGCTGTTCCTGATCCTGCTTGATGGATGGTCCACAGGTGTGCTTAAGAGCCTTAGAATCAATTCTTCTCTGCTGGAACATTAAGCTACCCATTAACATTAAGCTGGTAAGGTAACACTAACCTTTGCATTTCTTAGTGCCTCCTAGTCCTGGTCCTCATGAATCTTCCTGTGGATATTAAGTTTCCTACTGTAATCCTTCTCCCTCCTCTCAAAGCCTGTGCAACATTTAGACAAGAATCTTCTGGAACATTACCCTGAATATTATTCCTGTTAAGAGCTATTAACATATTTCCTATTCCCTTCCAGATATGTACCCTTATACACTGTAAATAAAATCACTTACCTTTTATGAATGCCTGAGTCTCTTTTGCATTGGTCTACACTCTGCATTTAAAAATGCCAATCATGCTAATAAACACACAAATTAAACAATTACAGACCCATTTCTAAACTATGCATTTAAATTTACTTGTTTGAAAGGCTAGTCTGTGATCATTTGAAAAAATGTTTTAGACACACATTTTATTTTTATTTCAGTGAAAACATCCCAGTACTGTTACAGTTCTTAAAGTTAGGTATATATATATATATATATATATATATATATATATATATATATATA